TCCTTGATTGATAGTGGTGAATTGGTTGTGCGAGAGTCAATCAATTCACTGCTTTGTACTGGAATTCATTCCAGTAGTGGAGTTCTGTGTTCATAGCCTCAGCTTTCTATCCTGGTGAAGACTAGTCGTCTGCCGGGTAGTTTGACTGAGAGGGCTTGGTTAGCTTAAGAGATTCCAAGCTAATTTAGGATCTTCCGCAGTTTAATCATCAGTAGATCAACCAAAGGTAATTGCTACTTGGACCTAATTGAGGAGCTATGGGGAATCATACCTAAGTGAGTTCGCAAACTGTAATTAGTAGTTTTACTTAGTTTAGTTAGTAGAGTAGTTTAGTTAATCAATCCTTAATCTAGTTTGCTAGATAATGAACTGAAGCTGAGTAATAGTAACTCTAGAGACCCGTGGATTCAATATTTATTACTTGTGCCATTATACTGCAGTCCCTTTCATTGGTTACACTTGGCCATTGTTAGGTGTTGTGTTTTAGCGTGTCACCCCACGGACTTGTAAATTCCACATATTGATGTGGGATTTGTAACATGCCATAAATCCATGATGGGATGTTACCCATATACCCTCATGAACTTTTAAAATTCCAAGGTTGCCCTCACATTTACCTATTGTATATTATAAATAATAAATTAATTAACAACAAAGAAATCATATAAATATTCGATTAATGTGCAAACATGAGTTACATTTTTATACCCTTTCTTGTGTTCTAGTTTCTTTTGACCTTTTCATAGAACTTGTAATTTTTTGTTCCTCGGATCTAATACATGTTGCTATATGTTACTTTTGAAAAGGAGGACAAAGAATTGGTAACCGACATATGGTACGATTAAAGTTAAACGAGATTTTCTTGTTTTATTATTATTGTCCTTGTGGCAGCATTATGCTTATTCGTACGTATTGTACTTGTTTTCTCTACATATCATAAACATGACAAACAAATAGAAAGAGATAGTATGGTAATTGTGGACTTTAAGATCTAAATCCCAAACCCTTAAATCCATGATAAAAAATCTCAACAAACAAAGGATTGTTACAAATCCATAATGTCTCAAATCCTTGATAAATCCTTGGGTTTTTAAATTACAAAACCCTCATTTTTAAATCCATGAAGCAAACGACCCCTTAGTTTTCTTGTTTGTGGGATTCACGTGAACCAGGAATGACAATGAGATAGGTCGGCACATATATCTTAATACTCATACCAGCCTAGTGGTAGGTTGGGTAATTTATCATGAGACATGATTCAGGGCAGGTAGACCCCTATGGATATGTAATTTAAAAGAAATTTTAAATTTTGTATATTAAAAAATTAAGAAACAAACTATAACATGATATATGTAATTAAAATATTAGAGAAATTGAGGTTCTCACCTATTTATAACTTATTTTAGTTAAAATATGAGGTAATAAAATTAAAATAACAAGTCATTTGAGTAAAACTATATGTAACTTTGGCAAAAAAATGGCAAAATACACTTTCGTAGCCATAACTATTCGCGTTGTGACAATAATAGCCACTTTTTGAAAAATACACAGATATAGCCACTTTTTCAAATTTGCTTGACAAATTTAGCCATTTTCATTAAAAATTTTAACACCGTTAGAAGCTCCGTTAGTAATTTGGATGTTGTGCTGATGTGGATGCCACCTCAAATTACACATCAGCACCAACATAACAAACCATACCACCTAGACGCCACCTCAGATTCCACGTCATATTTTAATTAATAAATTAAAAAAATTCCCTAACCGCCGCTGGAATCCTCCATGCTCGATTTCACCCCAACGGCCGCCGGCAAGTAAACCCATATAATCATTCTCTTCTTCTCCCACCGAATCCGCCGGCAACAATTGATTTCGCCTCGGATCCCTAACAATCTGCTTTTGCAATCTCTTCCCTAATTGAAACCCCTGGCTTTTGACATCCCTGCTTGATTGGGTAAGAGATCTGTACGTGGAAGGGAGGGCGGTGGCGGCGGCAAACGAGAGGGCGAAAGGGGGATTTGGTGGAGATGGATCCTATAGCTACACCATCGACTGGTTGGGCATGTGATTTGATCGCAATCGGACCCAAAGCCGATGGTAAGGATGAGGAGAGGAGCACGGAGAAGTAGGATCAGGCCGTTGAGGCCGAGCACAGATCTGGCGATGGTGGATTTGGAGGCGACGAAAGTTCGATTTGGCGGTGGTGAAGGGTCTCGGAGAGGATGACGCATGCCATATATTTTTGGAGAAACCATGTTGGATTTCAGATTTGATAGCAAAGCTGAAGGATGAAGCGGAAATGGGGAAGAGAGAGGATTAAAGAAAGCAGGTAAAGCGGCTGTAAGGAAGGGAGGAGATTGAAGAAGGATGGCGAGACAGCAGTGAGGAAGGGAACGTATCCTTTCATAATTTTTAATTTTTACTATAAAATGGGACTTTCCAACTTGGCAAAGTTAAGACAAAAAGTCTCCATGTCATCAAAGGACGTTAGTCCAGTCAGCGTGTATTATCATTCCGTTAAAGTTATGGACGGAATGGCTATTTTAGTGTATTTTTTAAAAAGTGGCTATTATTGTCACAACACGAATAGTTATGGCTATGGAATTGTATTTTGCCCAAAAAAATTGATCAAGAACAGTCGGGTCAGGTCAAGTTGAGAAGAGTACTCATACTCGCATCATCTACGTACCCATCTAAAAACTGATTAAACAGGTCGAGTAAAATGGATCAAATCAAAATTGAGAATGTAACGAAGAAATTTCACTTGACAATTGCAAAGGGTTTCCAGTAACTACCTGAGCCCTGAGGTGAAGACCGCATAAAGGAGAACAACCAATCAACCACAGCAATTTTGTATTAATTTCTTGTTTCCTCTATAAATCCCAGTTACAGAGCTCTTTTCTCATGAAAGATTCTCCATAGTTGATCGCATGTTTGTTTGAACATAAGCGAACATCTAAGTGGGTGATTTGATAAAATATAAAATATATGTTTTCAACTTTCCATTGAGAGGTTTTTCATGTCATTTTGAGCATAATTGATCCCTCAATTGTTTTATTTTGGTCTAGGATTTTTTTGTATTTAATAGGGACATGTTTTAGGCAAGAAATGCGAGGTTTAGGAAATTTCGAGCAAAGTGAGACAACAAGTGTAGGGAGAAGGTGAGGAAGGTCATGATGACATGAAAATGCTATTGCTAGCTGTAAAAACGCAGAAAACAAAAAATACCACGAAAAGAAGGGGTTCAAAGGAACTTAGAGAAACCACCTAAAAAATAGGTTGTTTGGATGGATCAATATAGAAATGATACAATTTGATCACTTGACTCATTTATAAACAAGACAATTAAAACGAGTTAATTTGAATTACTTGTTACTACATCAGACAATTGAAATTGACTCAAAGTGGATCAATTCAAAATACCTCAGGCAAATTGATCCATCCAAATTTTTTGTTGGCAAACGAGTCAATTTGGTACAATTACGTCAAATTGATCCGTTACAATTCTTCATCCAAATGACCCAAAAAAAAAGCCTTCGATTCCTGGAGGATGGAGAGTGAGGGATAAAACTTAGAGAGAAGGAGAGCTTATTCAAAATTCCAAACTTGAACAAAGTTAGTTTTTCTTTTTGGCAAAACGCACTTTCATAGCCACAACATTTATGTTTGTGACAAATATAACCATAATTTTCGAAATACACGAAATAGCCATAATTTTGATAGTTGTTTGACAAATTTAGTCATTCCGTTACAAACTTTAACGATGTTAGAGATTTTATTAATTAGGTTAACGATACGCCGACTAGCATACCAATTGACGCACACATCAGTAATAACTCAGCTTGACTTGACACGTAGATGCCACCTCATAATTTACTTTTAAAATATTTTAGGTAAAATACACTTCAATAGCCACAACTTTCGCTTTTGTGACAATTATAACCATAACTTTTGAAATACTAAAAATAACCAGAATTTTGATGGGATTTTTACAAATCTAGCCATTTTCGCTACAAACTTTTGAAATATACAAAACAGTCGCGACCCCTGTCCTCATTTCTTCCCAGGGCTTTGTTTGAGAGGGACTGCAACGAATCAGGCCAATTAATAGCGACGGATCGAGCTTCACCGAAAACAAGAACAACTGCACCCGCAACGATTTTGGGGAATTGGAGGGGAAAATACACTACGAGCCGCGACATCCTTCCTTCTCGACCCATCGTTCTATGTAGCCACCGGAGATACTGTCTCCTGTTTCACCGACACCGCCGATGCCTTATTCTTTGTGACCGTCATCAGCTTCTCCCAGCAGCCTTCTTGCCCTCTTTCTTGTCTTTTTTTGTGACTCCACCAAGCGTTCGAGGCCTTCTCCTACAATCTAGAGATTGAGGATCTGAATCGGCAATTTGGAAAATAAAGCCTCCTTCTCCAGTCATATTGTTAACTTGACACCGTTAAAGGGATGAATGCAAGCGGATTTTTCAAGTACTTCGAAAGTTGTGGCTACAACTATCACTAATGTGAAAGTTGTGGCTTAATTATCACAAACGTGAAAGTTGTGGCTATGAAAGTGTATTTTGCTTTTTTTGTTAATCCACGTGGATCACCAACTCATAATTTCCATAAGTCCATTCATATTGTTAAGTGACACCGTTAAAAGGGATGGACGGAAGTGGGTATTTTGTGTATTTCGAAAGTTGTGGCTATAACCGTTACAAACGTGAAAGTCATGGCTATGAAAGTGTGTTTTTTGTTTTTTTTGTTTTTAACAATTGAACAAAGTTAATTGAAGTGATAATTTTGTTACGACTTAATAGACCTACAGCCTACGTGACCATTATGCTACGTTTTGAAATTTTGTGCCGACTTGGTAACATTTGAGATAGTTCAGTGACTATTTGAGTAATTAACCCAGGATAGATACCGACGTCGAGCCTCGTAAATTTCGCTAGTGCCCACCAATGGAAAATTGGTAAGTCCCGGCTTAAGAAATTTGAGAAATGGCGTCCACCAGCGTGTCAAGGCCCCAAATCCTCTCCCTTTACCGCTCTCTCCTCCGGACAGCTCGCCAGTTCACCGACTACAACATCCGCCAGTACTCCAGGCGCCGGGCGGTCGATGGATTCCGGCAGAACGGGGGTTTAACTGACCCGTCTTCAATCTCCGCTGCATTCTCCGACGGGGAATCTCAGCTCCGAGTCGCCAAGAGACAGGCCGTCGTGTACTCGCTCTACGCGCCTGAAATCAGGAGCGTTATGGAGACCTACTTAGCAGGCAAGCGATCATGAAGACGAGTTCCGGTGTACTTGTTTTCCTTTCTCTCAATTTCCACCCAAGCAGTAAGATTTTAGTTTTTGTAATCTTCTTTTTTCCCCCATTATCATCTCAAATTTCTGATAGGATTTGGACTTGCTTTGTATCATAAGGTGATCTGGGTTTAAACTTTCACCCCGTTTGTTCTTCATTTTTTGCGCCTTCAGAGTTCATTCAGGCTTTGCTAGAGCAAAGCAAGAATAACTACAGATGTATGATTAGTTAGCCTAATCCAGTAGAGAATACACAGCAGGGCCGATTTTAAGCGTATGGTTTAGTTGTTGCATAGTTAATTTGGAAATGTTTCTGTTTCTAGTGTATTCTAGCTGTATATTGTAGTTTCATGAAAGATCTTTGAGGGGGGTGTTACTATGTTAGCAGATTTGCCTGTGAATTTCCATGTTTTGTGGTATGGTTGGTATCTTCTACTTTTGGTGGGAGGAGATCAGATAATTGAGCTACAAGGTACTTGTCTTTATGTCATGGTGATGGTGTAGGCTGAATAGGAATCTCTCGTTCTTTTTTACGCCAATCATGCTCTTAGAGTCCAGTTTCTCTCCTTGATTCCGACCTCAACCAAGTGTTTAGTTCTTGTGTGGTCTTTCAGCTGATTCCCCAGGTTGATGTTTCTGGATATTCTAAGGACCGTCTTGACCGTTTAATGGTAGGTAGCTGGTGAGGTAATTGATTTAGGGACAATATCAAACCGTTTCAGGTTCGTAGCGTTTGATTGCTCTCGGTTGTTTCTGATGATGAATCTGGAAATACCTGCCTAAATTCTCCCTTTTGATTCTCTTGGTCACTCCTTTTCCTTCCTCTCTTGATGTCATACAATCCTCTACTTTTTTCTCGCTGCCATCCTGCGCTTCTTATGAATTTCCATTAAGTGGAAGGATTTGCATCGTCATTCAACTAGTCAATTCATGAATCAGAGGCTTCAATGCTGGAGGATGAGAGCTTTTGTAGATGGGTTTGCTGTTATCATAGGATTGATAGTATTTGAAGGCGGATTTGTAAGGCTGTGCATGGATGGGACATTGTGAAGTGGAATTGGGATTGGTTCACGTGGGACATTGCATAACTGGTGATTTGGTTCCAGCTCTTGATTTTTCTTGTGTTCTTCGATTTCTAGTTCGTTTTGCTACTTCGACTCGTTTGATTTCTTGTCTTCCGGAAACAGGGTAAAGTACTAAAGTCGTCCACGTTGGCTTTTGATTTTCATTATAACGTTGATAGGTATTTAGGTAGTTGAAAATGAGGTCTGGGCTATGAGCCCATGACTACGAATGTTTCACATTTGTATGAATAGTGGCTAGATAAATCTTGATACATGGTGTTAGCAAGGGGGACGTTGGATGTCTTCTTTAATGAATAGCAAGGAGAACCCTCTTTTACTGCTGCGAGATCTGAACCTTCTACACCCGTTGCTAGTCCTGCAATGCCTGTGTTTCGCCGTCCAAAGTCCCCTGACTAGGAGCAGTTGGAAAGCTTCTGATTCTGAACTGCGGTTGAAATGTTTGGATGATCTACACAAAGCTATGGTATGTCCTGAACATGCTTTTAACTCAATAGTCAATACCAGTAGCTTTAATCTCAGAACCTGTGATTTCCAGCTCCAGAGTGCTTTCCCAAGTAGGTCTTGGCTCCTTATCCTCAATTTTTCAATAGAACCATCCAATTGGTTATGCTTTGAGTTAAGAACTATTAGGTATTATACGACTACTGTTGCCCATAATTTGCCAACAGACTAAGGAAAATTGGAATGACTTGTTCAAGTGTTCCAAAATTCCGACATCCCACTCTGTTGCATAGATTGGTTACTATTGCTGTCTTTCCTGTTTGTCTTTCCTTCGTTTTTTAGTAGGGATTTATTTTTTTGCCCTTATCGGTTATCTGTTTGGATAAAGGTGCAGGATCTCTTAAATTTATAGTTATGCAATGTCGTGTCAACGAGTCTCGAATTTTGATCTTGTTTATATGGCAGTGACAGTGAAAGTCATGCGAGGAACTCAAAGTGCCTCATCAAGCAAGTGCTCGCCAAGAGAGGAATTGTATTGCCAGCCCGATCCAAGCAAGTGTTGTGTGACGAGGAGAACGTTAAATGTCTTGTATATCGATTTAACTGCTGGAGCTTCCTTGCAGATTCATGAGGGTAAGTTAACATAGCTGGGTAGTCTGGCTGCTTGTTTCTTCCTACAGCAAGTTTACAGGGGAAAGGGAGAATGACCAGCTCACATCCCCACTTCTGACGGCTCCTCAGGCATTCATTCGTTCGTCTGATCTTCTCTCAGCTTTGTTGAACTCCCACTGATCACTGGTATGGTGTCTGCATAAACAAGTGCTTGCTGTCATTGGCAAGGGGAACACTCTCAGTCAACTTTTAGAAAAAAAAAAAAAAAACTATACATCTGTTCATCATTGGCTTTCCAGTGGAGCCGCCCCAAAAAATGGCATGCGTAGAACTGTTGCAAAAGTTTTGCTGCTGCATGACTTGCATTATTCCCATGGGGGATATAATATGAGTAGCATGTTTTCTGCAAATGGCGAGTGGAGGGGCCAATGGCCACCACGATGTCATGATCAAAGAAGATATGGGTATTATGATTTGATGAACTTTGTCTTTCCCCTTTCCCTGTCAATGTTCTTGAGCCGATCATCTCTTCTTTGGTGCTATGCCTTTTCAGGGCATGTGTCAATTTCTGCTATGACGACAAAAAGATAAGAGGAGATATGGGTCCCTGGCTTTAACTGCTCCAGCTTTCAATTCATCGATCTGGAAATGAAAGGGGAAGAGGGAGACAGGAATGACTGACTTTCCTGCCGAACTGACACTGAACCTTTGTTGGGAAATAATAGCAAGAGTTGTATAGTAATAATTCTGACAGTGAGACAACACCTGGAGAATACATCAATGATCAAACTACCCAATTTGTCATTCACTTCTTTTTTTCTAGCCCTCTCCACTGCGTTGACTGTACACGATTTTGATGACGTGACAGGTCTACTTGGCATGCTGACTTGACTTATCTGAATTAATGACATTTTTATGCGTTATTATTAGTTCAGTGATCAATTCTGTACAGGCATCATAATCTAGTGACCATTTGCGGATTAAACCAGTCATTGAGCGAGACCAACCGTAGGAAAACGTCGTCGTTCCGGAAAATGCCTCCGGCTAATGTGATGAGGCAGACAATGCTCTTGACGTGCCTCTTCCCTATTGGCTCTCTGTGCCATCTCAGATGATCTAGCTGGCACCGTATGATTTGTCTCGAGCTGCCTGTTTGTTTGATCCGTTATTTATAACAAAAAACAAAACGAAAAAGGGAAGCAAGTACCTAAAACGCAGTCGCTGAGGCCGTTCATCGAAATACGGAGGCGCGTTGGCCTGGTTATCCACGCGGCACCATGCGATTCGTTTGGCTCGCCAACTCAAATGGTCCGAGGTGGCACCGTATAATTTCTCTCGCCTACGAATTACGAACTTGCTTCCTCTCTTTCCCTTCTCTCTCCTTCTTCTATCGTTTCTCCGTCCCTCCCATCTCCCCTTCTTCGCTCTATCTCTCTCTTCGTAAGTCTACAATTTGTTCCGCTGCCATCGCCGGGGGCCATTCGAATCGCCGTCAATTGGCCGGATCCGCGCTCTTGTTCGATTGATCAATTGCAGGAACGGGAAGCCTGAAGCTCGATTTCGGGTGGGGTTGACGAGGTAAAAATAAAAAAGCTAGGGTTTCGATTCCACTGCCGAATTGGTTGGGCCCTCGGTTCGTCTCGTGGATTTAGGGTTTAGAAAAGTGGAGTGGAAGCGCTGGGGGTTGTCATAAAGGGCCGTGGTATTGATGGTACTCGAAGGTGAAAATGCAAGGCTATGCATGGACGGGAAGGTGAGGAGAGGAAAAGGGCTCGGCACATGTGGACAGATCCTACCCCTGCCAATTCGGTTGTAGAGGGTGATGTTTCTTCGTCTTCTCCGATTCCTAATTCGTTTTACAAGGTAGCCTTTCTTCCTCCTTCCCTTTTAGGAAGAAAAAAAAAATGCTTTATTGTTCTCCCCCCAAATCGTGTTAATTTTCAGTTGGCGTCGACAATTCTAGAATAGTTATCTGGGCGTTTCCAGGAGTGAGGATTTATGGATCATGAAATAGGGTTTGGAGATTCATGTGATTATTTGGTCACTGCTCGAGTCGGTGATACATAGTAAGCGCTTACAACGTTGTAATGGAATCCAGGTCCCATAAAATTGTCATTGGCGGGGGGTTTCATCTGGCCATTTTGTGAGATATGTGGGTACGGAATAGGGATGTAGTGTGCTCTTGCCCTGTGGTATTAGGCTATTGAGGGATGCGGGCTCAGTTGTTTTTTAATCATTTCTCCCAGAATCCAGAAGCCCTGCCTTCTTGGTTCTTGGACAGTTGATGGCCTGCACTGAATCAAATTGGAACATGTTTTCTGATCGGTGCAGTTGTATGCACAATTAGGGGATGTTTTGTTACAAAAGTTTGACTTTTCATATGATCAATTTTTATTGTTGGGACACGGAAAGGGATGAATTGTGGTGCTCAGCTGGGACTAATTGGGGAAAGTGATGAGCTACATCTGCTTATACTTGAAGTGCTGGCGTTTAAGAAAATTTATAGAGCATTTCTTTTGTGCCGGTTTTCTTCTGGACTCAATCCCGAAGCAACATGTATTTCTGATAATCTGCAAGATCGATCCTATATTTCATATGCTGTTTCTGATTTCCTCGGCATTCTTCCACTGGTTTCCCATGTCAACTGTTCATAAATTAATCATATGACTGATTTTCTGACAGTTTCTGACAGTTTGTTATCCCTCTTTCCTTCAGGACGGGCGAAAAATCTGTGTTGGGGACTGTGCTCTTTTCAAACCGCCGGAGGAGTCTCCACCTTTCATTGGAATAATCCGTTGTGTGATTACCAGTAAAGATAATAACCCAACTCTAGGTGTGAATTGG